AATTCACCAAATTTGATATAGTAAGGTGACTGCCCAAGCAGGATTTCCCAAGTAATACACATAGAATCCACCAGATGACTATCAGGCTCACGTAATTCGAAAATGACAAAGCGCGTTCCAAAATTCGAACTGTTGGAAAGCAGAACGCTGGATTTTGCTTTGCCTCGTAGCCAGGTGGTTAGAGCGCTGGACGCACTACTCACGCCAGCTGTTGCTGCATCCCTCACAATAAGGTCAGTCCAGCTTGCTGGATTGTTTATCCAGCTTATTTATTTGGAGTCCAGTCGTACTTTATTCCACTCCTGAAATTGGCTATTTGGCCAGAGGTTTTGGCTATCATCTGACTTGTATTACAACAAGATAGGGACGCTCTTTTTTAACTAAAAAGGCACGCGGAGTCACGCGCTCGTCCACACAGGTGGGCGGCAGTTTTCTGGACGCAGAACGCCACACCTCGAACTAAACGCTGTTTTGGTGTAATGGCGTAGGTGCATACGCCCTTCTGTGCCGCCTAAGCTGTCGGTAGTCGATCCTCGGTTTCGAACGTTTACGTCGGGGAAGCGTTTGTTGGAATAGTTAAGGGAAGTGAATGAGAGCGGGGCGAAGAGGGGAGCTAGTCTCGTTAAAGCTCGCCGATCTACCTACTGAGTCCGCTTAGCTTTTTATTTTCAAATTTTTAAATTGTAGCCAACATTTTTATGGGCCAATCAAACCCTCTTGTGATCTATCTGCAACTTCTGCCATTTACACGTAGAAGAATAAAATCGATGCAACTCGCACTGAACTCGATTCGGGAATGGTAAAGAAGAAAATTAGATAGTTCATGCCTACAAGAGAGTACAGCTTTATATCCTAGGCATCCTGAGGCTAAAAAAACCGGCGGTCTACTTTAAAAACGATAAACCATGATAGAGCAGCCGCGTTTACATTCGCAGAAAATTTTCGGGTCTCGTTCGAGTTGGGTCAAATATCAATTGGTAATGAGGTTATCTCTTCCACGACCTACCGGCTGCACATTGTGTAACTTCAATTCTGAATGAGGGTCTAAGGAAAGCCTCTGATATCGGGTGCTTGAAGCCCAACGTATCGCACTGCATGCTTTCTGTGCCGGATAATTTGACGTAGTTGTGGCAGTCTTCTTAATGCGGTGACAACGGTCGAATGCGCCTTCACAGTTAACTGCTTGAGCAGTCTGTGACTTAGCCTTCGACTTGGTGAAACCGTGACACCGATCGATCTTCTGGTTTTCACTGATTGGCGGCAGCCGGACATGGGTCGGGCGCGTGTTCACACCCCGTGCTGGCTAGCACAGCTGCAAAGACAGGCTTTTAGCCTTGCTAGACAATTGTTGTCGCCACTTCCTTAGGTAAGATACCAAATGTCAACATACTTCCCCTCCGATTAATTTTTCCAGTCCGGGTAGTCTTTGTATTATCAGTACAAACACCCACAACACCTTTAAACTCGTGCTCCAAGTATTCACTAACGAGATTTCCCTCAACCCGAGGTGGCAGGCGGCAGAGCTGACATTTTCGTTGTGACTTAAACCAGGCTTTTGGGGGAGCCAATCACATGGCCAAAAGGAGCTGTATGTAGGGTAAAAAGCGCATGAAGTTGGAGACCGTCACACCAAACCTGATCACATTCTCAGCACATACGACCTAGAGACAGGGTTTTCGCGATAAGCGTCTTGGAGATTAGGGTTTACGATCGTGATCTAATTGAACCGAAAGACAATGGTCTGTCTCAACAGAATCATAGCATTTGAGTATCCATTGCGTTCAATAGGAGAACCGGTAGATAACGGCCAACATGGGTACGTAAAGCTGTTTTGCTCGGCAATGTCATTTCGCCTATACCACTAGCCTCTGCACGGCTGCTGGCGGGGCTCGAGGCACAACGGGACGAATGTGTCCCGCGACAAGATCGCTGAGCGCCCCACCGCCACTGTTAATATAACCGATCGCAGCCGACAGGACAACGAGACAGTGTCTCAGCGGTTAGGGCGTTTGAGGGGGTGTAGGGTCGTCCAGTTGAGTGTCCACGTAGCGGTCGTAGTAGGTCGCTCACTTGCTTGCAGGTGTAGACCACGTCCAGCGTCCATTAACTGGCACCCAACTTACACATGTGGCTCCCAAAAGCTAGGTTCTGCCTAGCGGCCACACCCCGGTAACCTCCTCGACCGGCGGGCTAAACCAGGTGAGGATATCCGTGGGTGCATCTCCACACACACGGTAATTCGGCTGCGCTCCCACCATCGCTGGCCGGATGGAGCATCGCACTGCCATCTCCCAGACAGGACTTTGTCTGCATCCCCGCCAGAGGCCACAAGGTAAGTGACCCCCAGGTAAGCCGAATGCTGCTTGTCTGCCCTTGCCTGCATACCCTCACATTTTCAGCACTCAGCAAGCTACTGACCCACTGGCCGGAAGACCTAGTCCCTCTCTGCTCCTTCGCAATTATTATCTGTCCTCCCTCTCCGCCCTCCTCCTCCGCCCTCAGCTCTCTCTACTGCATACTCCACTCTACTTTCCTGCCTTATTGTCTTTGTTTTGATTCCCTTTGTTGTGAGCTAAATGTCGTTCGGATGGACACCGTTCTGTTAAATTTGCCCACTCATCGTTTACATTTCACCAAGTATTTATCTTAGGGAGGGGCTGGAAACTCTACTTCCCGTCTCTCTACCCTTCCCCCACCCCCCTACCTCCCCCCTTCAAGTCCTCCGGCGATGTCATAGGCAAGCCCAAGCTGACTCGGGTCGTTCTCCCGTCAAGCAAAGTTGTGGCCCATAGTGGAGTCCGGCAGTCGTCTGGGATGACTGAGCAGCTCTATTTAAGGACAGCATTGCTTACCCCCTCGAGGGGTACGAGACTAGAAAAGGATCACGTCTTCTGCGCGCTGACCGTGGCTCGCAGATACAAAACGCACGGTCGAGACAGCCAAAAACGAAAACACACACTCTGTTCCTCCTCCTCCACCTCCTCCCCGCCACCCCATCCCACAGGTTGGTGGGGTGAGTCCGCTTACCCTGGCAGCCTAGAATGTTTGTTCCCTTTTAGATAATCCCAGGAACAACCGACCTGAACGGATGACTGCGGTAGTGGCTCGGGAGCTGGTGCATTACAAGGTGGACATTACTGCACTCGGCGAAGCCCGGTTCTCCAAACAAGGCCCACCGGAGGAGGTTGGTGCCGGCTACACCTTCTTCTCAAGGCAGAGCAACGGGACACGAGCGTCGCCTTTGCCAACCGGAACGACATCGTGGGATGACTGTCGTCTGCCGCAGGGCATCAACGACCGTCTGATGAGCCCCGGCCTGCCTCTCCGGGGAGACAAATTCGCCACTATCGTCAGCATCTACGCTCCCCACATGACCAGTCCCGACACTGCAAGGAATTAATTCTACGAAGACCTGCATGTACTCCTGGCAACTGTGCCGACCGCGGAAAATTTGATTGTCCTTGGGGACTTCAAGGCCCGCGTCGGCACAGACCATGCAGCCTGGAGAGAAGTGCTAGGTCCCCATGGTCTCGACTGTTCCAATGACAATGGCCTGCTCCTCCTACGAACCTGCACAGGACGCCGTCTCATCCTGACCAACACCTTCATCCGCCTACCAACGCGAAAGAAGACCACTTGGATGCACCCTCGGTCGCGACGCAGGCATCTGCTGGGATACGTTCTTGCCCGGAGGCGAGGCCTACGGGACGTGCTGGTGCCTATGGGCGGACCGACCATCATCTCGTTATCTCCAATATGAGGATTCGTCTACAGCCACGCAGGAGAACTCAGAGTAAACGACCCCGTGGCAAGTCGAATATTGCTTTGTTGTCTTTGCCTGCTCATCATCTCCATTTCAGCAATGAGCAAGCACAACGACTAACTGACCTTCCAGTCACCTCCGCCGTTGACGAGGACGAGGAAGACGACGACGACGACGACGACGACGACGACGAAAACGCCTCCGTGGAGAACGGGTGGTGTCAGCTGAGGGACATGGTCCGATCAACCGCCCCAGCTGTCCTCGGCCTTGCACGTCGCCAACATCAGGACTGGTTCAACGACAATGACGCAGCCATCAGCAACCTACTTGCCAACAGAAGAATCTTCTGCACAAAGCCTACTTCAATCACCCAACCGACGACAAGAAACCAGCCTTCTACCGCAGTCGCCACATTGTACAACAGCGGCTCCACGAGATGCAGGACCCCTAAACAGTTGACAAGGCCGGTGTGGTCAAAGGGTATGCGGGTTGCAACGAATGGGAGAACTTTCTCGTTGCGATTAAAGCTGTTTACGATCCCATAGTCAAAAGAACCGCTACTCTTCTCAGCGCTGACGGAACTACCCTACTCACTGAGGAGACTCAGATTCTACAGCGGCTGGCCGAACGCTTCAGAGGCATCATCAACCGTCCCTCCACCATCTCCGACCCTGCAATCGCCCGTCTGCCTCAAGTAGAGACCATTGCCGACCTCGACCTCCCACCCTCTCTCCACGAAATCATCAGGGCCGTGCAGCAGCTCTCCAACGGGAGAGCGCCCGGATCGGACGTGCTCACTGCTGTGGTCTACAAACACGGTGGTCTTCAACTCATTTCTCATCTTACGGCGCTCTTCCAGTAGATGTGGCGTCAAGGACAAGTCCTTCAGGATTCCAACGACGCCACAGTTGTCTGCTTCTACGAGCAGAAGGGGAACTGCTAAATCTATGACAACCACCTACCATTTGCCTGTTGAATATCGCCGGGGAGATCTTTGCTCGCATTCTTCTCAACCGCCTGAACAATCATCTGGGACAGGGTCTCCTGCCAGAAAGCCAGTGCGGCTTTCGCCGTCATCGCGGAATCATCGACATGATCTTCGCCGGCAGTCACCTGCAGGAGGAGTGTCAGGAAATGCGGACCCACCTCTACTCTACCTTCGTGGACCTGACAAGAGTCTCTGACATGGTGAATCGAGAAGGACTGTGAGAAATCATTCAGAAATTCAGCCGTCCTGGGCGATTCACTCAGATGGTGCGTCATCTCCACGACGGCATGACGGCGCACGTCATAGACAATGGAACCGTATCAGAGGCACTCTCAACGATCGACGGAGTGGAGCAGGGCTGCGTCCTCGCGCATACCCTCTTCAGTCCCATGTTCTCTGCCATGCTAATGGACGCCTACCGTGATGAACGTCCTGAGATCCGCGTCGCCTACAGGACGGACGGCCAACTCCTCAAACACCGGCGAATGCATTTCCAGTCGCGTGCATCCGCAACACCGTCCATGAACTTCTCTTCGTCTAAGACTGTGCCCTCAAGGCCACCGCGGAAGGGGACGTGCAAAGGAGCATTGATCTAGGCAAAACAGCATTTCTAACAAAGACAAGAGAGCATCCCTTGTCTTTGTCGGTAATACTATTCTACCTATATCACACGCTGCTGTGCGGCTGCTGGTTGGGCTCGAGAGTGAGCCCTCCTCGCAACGCCAACACTCAAACGTCCCCAGAGAGCTACCATCTTAGGCCAGGGCAACACAAAAGCAGCACGGCTAACACTCGAGACCTGATACTCTGGTGCCAACTCCATCGACAGGCATCCGGACCTTCATGCAGCCCAAAAAGTCCTCCGACATCACGTCCGTACAGTTCAGGACCAAGCAACCACATTGGACTTAAGAATGCCATATACAGACAGACCCGACGGCGAGTCTACTCGGCGAGGAAGAAGAAGAACCACCAAACCAACCACCCGAATGAGCTTCAATCACCTCCCCCCAACGAAGCGGTGACTCAATAAGCACACAGATAAAACGCCTACCAACCATCCTCTGAGAGGCCGAGGCAGCGAGAGAAGAGAAAAATCGATCAGCACGAGGCCGACCAACGCGATATGCCATTTGAAATTTCGGATCGATCAAGTACATTTTACGCTTTGCCAATGGGGAGCCGACCAAGCTCTTCGGAACGTTAGCGCCTAAATAAACCCGTTCCGGTGAGCCCATGTTTTTCCTCAAACCATCAACCCAGATCTCTCAACTTTGCCGCCCCCCAAACTGACAACGTTGTCAGCGGACGCTCCGGACACCGATCGGTCTTATTGGACAAACGACAGCAGCCGGATGACACAACCCGATGTCCTCGCGTCCACGCCTGTCTCGCCCCCCACGCCGACTATAATTACTGTCCTCACTCCTGGACCCCCACTGCCATCCTCCTCCGTCGCCTCAATATTTGCTGAGACGGTCCCTGAATCCACTACGACTGCACTCAATCCTAACACACCGATAAACATCAACCTCACTACCTCCAATACCAGCGATGTGAACTCGGTCCATACCTGTCTTCATTATGATCGCACTTTCACCCCACACATCGGCCTGGTCGGTCACTTTCGAACCCATCTCACAGAGGCTGGTGAATCAGTGCCTGGAGCACCAACGCACTCTCGCCGCATCCGCCCCAACTGTCCACACTGCCCCCGCGCATTCACTCATTGCATGGTTCTTCTAGGTCACGTATGTAACCACGAAAGCGGGATTGACCGCAGTCTCGACACGCCTAGCACACCCTGCACATCCACCATACCTAGCTCAACCCACACCCCGTCGCGCGGCGCGTCCACTGACAGCAGCTCCACCACTACCACCATCACCGAAACCGACGCTGACATCGCTTACTCTTCCTGTCCACACTGTCCCCGTATATTCACCTCACACATCGGCTTGGTCGGTCACTTGCGAATCCATCGCACAGAAACTAGCGAGCCAGCACCTGGAGCACCCATCTGCACTCACCGCATCCGCCTCCACTGTCCACACTGTTCCCGCACATTCACTCGCTGCACAGGCCTATTAAATCACATGCAAATTCACGAAAACCTGTGGTAGACAACCGCAGGTTACACCGCAGCATCCCACCTTCCCCCACCGACACCCACATCACACAACATCATCATCCACCACCAGCATTCAATTGCCACCTCCCACGAACGTGGGAGAGTACTTCTCGGCTCCTTCTCCATGCGGCTCCTCTGCTACATGTTTGATCCGAGTCTTAGACTATCACGGTGCGTCGAGCGCCACGATCTGGAAGGCTGCCGTCTGAAGCCCCAACTCAGTCCATGCAATATGTCCAGTTGTGTATGCTTGTGCGGAGTGGCAGACTGGTGGGCTGAGAGCCAGGCTGAAACGGCTCCTGTTTAA